TCAATCCATCCATCCATTCATCCACCCACCCACCCTCCCAATACATTTATCCATCCATCTATCCTTCCATCCATCCACTCAATCTATTTACCCACCTATCCATCGACCCATCCATTCACTCAGCCATTCATTATCCACATAATGGACAATGGAAAGCCTACCATGAGCACGCAGGAGACTTGAGTCAATAAACCTGACATCCTTATTGCTATTGTCAAGGGTGAGCAAGGATGGCATTAATTGAACCACCACAACTATAAATACACACACACACACACATCCCAAATCTGCATTCAGATTCTAACAGATGGTGAACTCATGCTTTCCCAGGAGAACCATGCCCCACTCAAGTTTTCAACAGATGACTTTTTAGAAGTACATCACTGGACCTTTCTTCCAAGGTGCCTCCTTGGACTTGGGTGGACTTGAAAATCTAAATTTTCAGTTTGCAGTAGTGCTGATTAATCACTTGAATGACCCAGCAAATGAAAATACTGGGTGCATGAGATGCTGTGGCCCAAGTGTGAAGGATGTGTATATCTGGGAAGACTTCCTGGAAGAAAGGAGTGATGAGGTCTGCTAGGAAGCAAGTGGAAGCATGGTGAGTAGGGAAGGTGTTCCTAACACAGAAGCCAGAGTGCTGTGGTGAGCTAGCCCGATGCTCAGAGGGCCACTGAGGCCAGATGGCTTCGCAGCACACCCACCACTGTCCACACAGCAGCTCGAGTTAACAGCTTCCCTCAGGGCTTAGCAAAAGTGTGTGTGTGTGAACTCTATAAAGTTCTGGTTTCAAAACAGACTTTGGACTGAGAAACTTGTATATTCACACAATGGAATCTATGCAGCACTAAGGAATAACCATTTTATAAAGGACTATGTAACTTGGGAGAGTCTCGAGAGCATACGCTGAGTGAATCTCAGTCACATAATGATAAATACTGCATAAGGCCACGAGTGTGAAAGCAGAGGATAGCTGGGCAAGGTGTGTAGAAATGTTCAAAAAGGCAAGAGGGGCAGGACAAAGGAGCGGGGAGTCACTGGGGCAGCAGAGGCTGGGGGGTGGAGGGGCAGTAAAAGAACAGGAGAATGTCAATGGGGACTTGAAACTATGGGGTGGTAATAGGCATAGAGTAATGATAATTAATGATATACAATATAATGTATAAGAATGATTGTATAAAACAATAAAGCCCATGTATGAAGCACAATATGTATGAGTGATTATACACAAACCAATAAAAAACGTAAAAAAAATCCTCTGTAACCTAAAAAAACAACAAAAAAACCTCTGAAATCTAAAAAAGTCAACAACAAAAAAATCCTCTGTAACCTAAAACAGACCCCAACAAAACCTCTGTAATCTAAAAAAGCCAATTAAAAAAATCCCCTGTAACCTAAAAAAAAATAAAATAAAAAAAAAATCTCTGTAACTTAAAAAAACAACACACCACCACCAACCAACAACAACCCTGGGCTTTTTCCATTTTCAAAACAATCAGACTATTATGCCTGGATACATATTTTTCTTTGCACACAGCTCTACATTCAATTGACCAGAAAAGCCTACCTCAGGCCTCAAACAAGAGACAATTTCCAATCCATGGCAGCTTGGACCATCCAGAATGATTGTTTCAGGTCTGTTTTAACAACACAAGATGCTGCCACAGCAGGCGGTCCCATCTGGAAGGCTTGGTGCCACAGCCTTCAGTAACCCCCAGTAAACGCCTCTTTTGCACATACGGATCAACAACGTTCTCCAAGGATACTCATTTTTTCTCCTGTAAAATCTTATTACTTCCCTCCCCACATCAGACTGTGGTTGGAGTTCTCACAGCAACAAACAAACAACTGTGATCTTAGACTTACAAAATCGTAAGGCCCAGCTTTGCGCTCCTTTCTTTGTGAAGAGACGAGGCCCTTGAACTGTTCCTTCTCTGACTTCAGTCAGAAGTTTTCCAAGATTGTCCCAGAGTGGAGATTTCAGAAAGCCTTAGCACCGACTCCCTCCCAGGGCAAAGGAAGTCAGATACAGCCTTCTGATTGATGAGCTAAACAAACTCTTCCTAAGCAAGCTGCAACAATTGTAGACTTGGCAAAGACATCCAGTACTTCCTTCACCTTTCTGGTGTCTTTGTTCAAAATACACAAAAGGAAGAAGGGCTCTGTCATTGAAAAGGTATCATCACTTCATGTCAAGAGTTTCACTGAGACTCTTCATCCTGCCTGAGTCTGGTGCCACAGTGGGTAAGGCTGCTCACTCAGGAGGAAGATGGGCAATAAAACCCTGCTGGAGGGTCAGCTGTGAGTGGGTTCTGAATTGATGGCACGAGCTGAGTTTCTTTCTTTGAGCAGCAAAGCATGGCCTTTTCATTTGTTCCTTTTGAAAAATCTCCAAAAAATTTCTCAGATGGTTTATAGTTGTTTACACACGAGGGAACCTCCAAATCCAGCCTGTTGCTGTGAAGGTGATTCCAAGCCAGGGCGCCCCCAGGTGTGACAGGCAGGTCAACACCACAGGACTTTCTCGGCTATATTCTCTGTGTATTCACCAGGCCTTTCTTCTGTGGTGCCACTGAGTGAGTCTAAACCACCAACCTTTAGGTAGTTATTGGTGTTGTGTGCCATTGAATCAGAACCAACCCACAGCAGTTAATCCCATGGGAATAGACTGCCTATCCTGCAGAGCAGCTAGCTGGTGGATTCAAACTTTGAGTCTTTGGGACTGCAGTGCACTTTCTTACCACTAGGCCACCAGAGCTCTGTTAGGTTTATTGTTGTTGTGTGCTGTCAAGTTGGAACCCACCCATACCTGATCCTCTCATGGGTTTTCAGAGGCAGTTAAATCACATGGCAGGAGAGCACCCATCCCTCTTCTGCAGAGCAGCAGGTGGATTCGAACTGCTTACCTTCAGGTTTGCAGCATAGTTTCTAACACTAGTCCACCACAGCTCCCTTAGGTTAATAGGTGGGTGCAAACTATTTGCAGCAATTGGGGATATTATACTTGTGAAATGAAGCCTGCTTTCTTTGGATAGCCAGTAGCACCACAAAGAACACTCATCTCATTGCTTTGCAAAGGGATTCTCAAAGTGTCGTCTGAGTTAGACCACCTGGAGGGCTTCAGACACAGATTGCTGGGGGCCAGCAAAGAAAAAGCAGTGGTCACTCACAGCAAGCACTGTCCTTTCCACATATGGATCAACAGCACACTCCAAGAATACTTTTAATATGTTAGAGTTGTCGGGAGCACATACTGAGAGAGAATGCCCAGGTTATACAGGTAACTTCATTAAGGTTTAAATCCCACCTTGAGCTGGGGCTTAAATTTCAAGGTGATTGGGAGCCAGTGACTTAATTTAAACTTTATTTTAAATGACATCTCGATTCTCATCTAAGATATTACTGTTAGCTAAGTGCAACTGGCATAACGCTACCCACAAAGATGATGTCCTACATCCTACTTTGGTGAGCGGCGACGGGGATCTTTAGAACTGGCGAGCAGCCACAAAATGTGCAACTAAAGGTCTTTGCCCTATCTGGAGCAAAGAGTAAAGAAAACCAGAGGCCCAACGAAACAGTCTAAAGAGCTGGACCCTGTGAACCTTAGTGCCCCGCCCCCCATTCTGAGACCAGAGGGACTAGATGGTGCCCAGCAAGCACTGCCTACTCTGACAGGCATCACAATAGCAGGTCCTGCATGAAGGGGGAGAAAATAGAAATACAGAGACAAAGTACAAATCATAAAAATAAAAGGACCAGCCTTACTGGTCTGATAGAGACTAGTGGCACCTCATGACTATGGTCTTCAGGCACTCTTCAAACCAGAAGTAAACTTACCCCATGTCTTAATGTATCAGCTTTCAGCCAAACGATAAGCCTATAAGGTGGACAAGGACACAAGGGAGGCACTCCCTCCTTAGAAGAATCAACTGCATATGGCCCAAAGAGCAGCATTTGTGCATAGATAACACCCAGAAAGGAGGAAAGGGTAGAAGGACTGATAGAATTGAGAACCACAGGGAAGGAACAGGAAGAGTGCTGTTACAGAATGGGGATTGTAATCTCTGTCACAGAAGACAATGTGTATGAACCATTGAGGGGGGAAACAAACTTATTCTATGAACTAGCACTCAAATCACAATAAACAGAAAACAAAATACAACAATACTATACTTACACAATAGAAGATGGACTGGAGAAGAGACTCGAGGAAGAAGGGCCACATCCAATACGGGAAAAGGGCTAAGCATAGAAATTTCCAAGGCTGAGCTAGTCTTTAATCCCTGACAGGCAGACGGTGGAGCCGATGGCGAGAGAGCCCCATCACCAAAGGCGGACCCACAGAGATGGACGGAAATTGTGAAACGCCTGGAATTTCACCATCCTTCCACTCCTCAAACTTGATGTGCACCATACGGTTTTATTCTAAGCTCGGACAGAACTTACTGAAAAGTCTTGTCACTGTTGTTATAGCCGCAAACAAAACACGATTAAGGGCACTCACAGCAGCTCCCCAGTGTTCACAGCAAATTCACCCCCTTCACACCTCAACTGATAGGTGCAGAGAGGGTCAGTGGCAGAGGGAGGTGGGCTGGCAGGTTTAATGACTGCTGCCTAGAAAAGAAAAGGCTTCCCAGGCTTACCTGATTAAAAGGCAATGGCAAATTTCTTTAATTTGTTCATCCCTTTCTAAGAGTTAGAAAGCAGAGCGTTCTAGGCTGGGAATGGTCCACTTTCTTTTCTTTCACTGTCTCAGCAGAGCAGCTATTTCATCAGTCCTGGCAGCGGAGCGCCTGGGTGGACTGCAGACTCTAGACGGCATCTTATACCGGCTGCTCCCCCCAAGATCCTGAACCAGACCAGGCCCAGTTCTCTTGGGCCCTCACCTTCTAGGTGCAATGATAGCCCCAGCCCCTATCCTACTATCTCAAGGCTTCTCCTCCAATCTGGGCACCAGGACTTCAGGAAATGTAAATCCAGGGGGGCAGGGGCACACTTACTGTTCCCTGGATGTGCGATGAGCTGGCCCCTACGTCCTCCTCTCCATCTGGCTCCTGGTCGTCATTGTCCGTCCAAGAGGACACGTCCTCCACTGAGCTGGTCAGGTCAGGCAAACTCTTGGATGTTAACCTGAGGAGGTCCTCTGCAGAGTTCTCCTGTGGGGACACAGGGAAAAATCCATGGATTACCCCAGCACACATGCAGTTATTGGCTGAGAAAAAACTCAAGGTCGAGGTTGAACAAGCTGTGGGGGGCCACGTGTGCCCTATCCACAGACCCTATGAAAATATGTGTGCTTTGTTTCCAGGCTTGTCTTAGATGCCTGGGCTATGGACTTGACTTAAATACAAACCATCCTCTCCTTTGAAGAAGTCGTCTTTCTTAGGTCAGCATTTCTATGGCCAACCTCAGGCCTCTGGACTTCAGTTCTTCATTGCCCTCCTCATTACTTTCAGTTAGATCTGGTGGCCTAGTGGTAAAGAGTTGCACTGTCAACTCAAGGGCACTCGGTTCAAATCCACCAGTTGCTCCTCTGAAAAAAAGATGGGCAAGCTCTGCCTGTGTGGCTTAAAACCTCTGAAAACCTCCTTGAGTATTGGCTATGAGTCGGGTTTGGCTCAATGGCACACACAACAACAATACTTTTAGGACACAATGCACACATCCTTAATAGGAGAGGACAGCTCATTTTCATCCTGGTGGGTCGGTACTTTGGCCATGTGACCTCTCTTCAGCTCTTCATCCATCTCTCTTTCCATTCATCTCTGTCTCTCTCAAACACACACACTTCTGCTGCCTGTGTCCTATGGCCTTGTCCACTAACAGTGCCCTCAGCTTCATCCAGTTACTGTTGAATCCACTAGATCATAAGCAGAATAGTAATAGTAACACACAAAAAGAGGAGGTTCTCACTTAATTGCTGAGTATACTGTGGAGCTGACTCAGAGCTGACCCTCTGGTGGTTTTCACACGGGAAGGGATTTCCCATCTTGCATCTGAGGAGCCACTGATGGATTCAAACCACCTGAGAGGCGTGGCCTTTGGATTAGCAGCACAGCTCCTTAGGGACCATGCCATGAGCACTGCCTCATAAATAGACAAGTTTTGTTGTCGTTGCTAAAAAGTGCAATTAAAGATGAGGGTCACACTCAACTACTGAGTAAACTGTGCAATAGCCATGGTCTAGGACAATCCATGGCCATTCAAAATGTTACTGCAGGAATGTGTGTCCTGCTGTGAAAAATTCTCAGAACACATTGCCGAAGCATCTGAAAAACAATATGAAAAAAAAAAAAAAAGATTGGTACAGGAGCTCTGGTGGCCTAGTGGCAAGAAGCTATACTGCAGTCCTGAAGGTGCACAGTTGGAATGCACCAGATGCTCTGCTGGAGAAGGAGGGACCAACTCCTCCTGTACCAGTGGATTTGATGGTATACAACAATGAAAACAAAAGAGGGGTACTGCTTCTAAAAAAAAAAGATTGGTACAAATTTTATGAGTGTATTGTTTCTCAGTGCTGTGTAGTATTCCATTGCATAAATATACCATCTCCTTTTTTTTTAGTCTTCAAGCTTTTATTTTTTAAATTTTATTTTATACTGGTTTACAATAACTTGTAAAATATTACATAACATGGGGGACACGAATGACATAATTATGAGTAAAATATCTTAGTCACAAAAGGACAAATACTCTATGTCACCACAGTTATAAAGCAGGTTTGACATGAGCGGCTGGGAGAAGAATAGGATACAAGTGGATACATAACGACCACTGCATTGGAACAGATGAAGGAGAGGACTTTCTAATGGGAATATATGATTAAGCATTATATGTATGACAAGAGCCCAAAATAAGAGGTACATTACTGCAAAGAGGACTGGGGGTGAGGGTGGGGAGGTAGGTAATTGTGCAACAATGAATAAAAATCTTAAAGAAAGTGAACAAGGGGAGGGGAAAGGGAGGGAGAAAGGACAACAATGAATCAGTGAAACTCTAACTTCTCTGTAAACATTCATTAAAATCGGAATTAAACTTTTATTTAAAAAAACTCAAGAAAAAAATTGGTACAAACCAGATGTAATAACTATGACAATTATAAACACAGTCGTCTGAGTGCTCACCATGACCAATACCTCAATGTCCTTTATGTCTCTTTTAAGTTCCCCTAGGAATGGGAATCTCAGAACACTCAATTGTGCTTATGTGAAACCTATACCTACACTAAGAAGCTGCTGTCCGAGTAGAGCAAGAGAGCACTGCATGGTGCAAAATCAAGAAAGGAGGAGTGCATCAGGGATGTATCCTTTCTACCTTTTCAATCTATATGCTGAACAGACCATTCAGACGGCTGGGCTTTATGAGGAGGAATGTGGCATCAGGATTGGAGGAAGACTCACCAACAACCTGTGTTATGCAGATGATACAACCTTGCTCACTGAAATGAAGAACATGATTCTGCCTGCTGCAGAGTAGCATGGACCACAGCCTTCAATATGGATTGCATCTCAACATCAAGAAAACAAAATTCCTCATCACTCGACCAGCGGGCAGCATTGTGATAGATGGAGAAAAGATTGAAGTTGCTAATGATTTCATCTTGCTTAGATACACAATCAATCCCTGTGGCACTTGTTGTTGTTGTTATGTGCTGTCGAGTCGTTTGCGACTCATAGCGACCCTATGTACTACGGCCCTAAACCCTGCTCTATCCTGTGCCAATCGCATTGCCTCTGACACACCCATCCCGATTACCCCAGTCACTAAATCAATTCATCTAATAGAGGGTCTTCCCCTATTGCGCTGTCCCTCCACCCTCCCAAGCATGATGTCCCTCTCCAAGGACCTGTCTCTCCTTGCAACACACTCTTCTCCTGTGGCACTAGCAATCAGGAAATCAAAACATACATGCGTTACACTGGGACAATCTGCTGTTAATGACCTCTCCAGGGTCTAAACAGCAGTGATGTCAGGCTAAAGACTTGGGTGTGCCTGATCCAAGCCACGGTCTTCTTAATTGCTTGTTACGCATCTAAGAGGTAGATAATGACTAAGGATGACAGAAGAAGAATCGATGCCTTTGTACATACCATAGACTGCCAAGGGAACAAACAGGTGGAACCAGGTTGCCCCTTGGAGACAAGGATTTTGAAACCTTGTCTCACATAGTTTGGGTATTTGGCAGGATGGACTAGTCCTTGGAGAAGGACAACATTCATGGAAGGGTAGAGGCCAGGACAAGGGAGAAAGGCCCTGGATGAGACAGACTGACACAGAAACTGTGGCAATGGGATAAGGTGGAGAAAGTGAGGTTGGCTCAGGACAGGATATGGTTTAGAGCTGTTGTTCACCAGGATGCCATGACTCACAGTAGACTCGAAAGCACGGAACAACAACAACAATATCCCCATGGGTGAGCTTGATGATACAGTCTGTAGGGAGTTGTACTGCTAATTCAAAGGAAATGAATTTTCAGGATTTTCATTGATTGGAATCAATCAGTGGCTTTATGAGAGAAAGATGGACAATCTCCCTTTGTGGAATTTACAGCCCAGAAACTTTCTGGAGAGTTGGTTATGAGTCAGTTTCAACTTGATGACAATGAGAGAACACATCCTCACAAAGTAGCTATCGAACCTCATTAGACATACGAGGAAACTGAGATTTAGAGAGATGCAATAACTTTGTTAAGGTGCATTAGTTAAGTGCTGAGCTGTTAACCATAAGGCTGATGGTTCAAACCCATCAACAGCTTCACAGGAGAAAGAGATTTGCTTTTGTAATGATTGTTGTTGTTAGGTGCTGTCAAGTCGAGTATGACTCACCTGAACCCTGTCCTATCCTGTGCCATCCTGATCATCTCTGACACACTAGAACTCACTGCTGAAGTCATCATGTCAATGTACCTTGTTGGGAGTCTTCCTCTCTTTCATTGACCCTATCTTTCTAAGTATGACATCCCTTTTCAAGGAATAGCCTCACCTAGCTACATGTCCAAAGTATGAAAGACTAAGCTTCACCATTTTGTTTCCAAAGAGCACTCAGGCTGCATTTTTCCCAAGACATATTTGTTTTTTTGTCAGTCCATGGACTATTCAGCATTCTTCTCCAACACCATAACTCAAATGCATCAATTCTTCTGTCATCCTCATTCATTGTCTAGCTCTTTGATTCAAAGCACGTGATTGAGCAGACCATGGCCTGAATCGCGCACACCTTAATCTTAAAACTTACATCATTGCTCCTCAGTATTCTAGAGATGTCTCTGACAGTGAACTTTCCTCAAATAGTATGTGTCTTGATTTCCTGACTTCTGGCAACCAAAGGTGTTGCCTTGGAAATCAGATAGGGCAGTTCTGCTCTGTCCTCTAAGGTTGGAATTGATTTGACAGTGAATTAGTGACTTTGTCAAAGATTTATTGTGGAAGGTTCTCACGTCCAGAGGGATGACTGTTGGGATGCACTTTGTCTCCTTGGCCTTGACTCTACTTAAAAGAAAAAGGAATGTTCCTGTGGGGTTTGGGCCTGCCTGAAGGGCACATCAATTCAGGAATAAATAGCACCACTACTGGGCTTTATCCCATTCTTTGCATTTTGGGGGTGTGCAGTATGGAGAGAGGTTTCTACATCAAACACAATAAAAAGATAGTACTTTTAAATAAAAAGTCAAATGGAAAAAAGGGAGGAAGAGCAATATGTGTTGTTGAGCATGCATTTTCAGGGATCTCAAAACTAACATGGATATTCTGAGTTCACTCATTCAACAAAAGCTTACTAAGCTCCTAGTTTAAGCAAGCAACTTACCTGTATGGGAACATGAGACATCACTGTAAGAAAACAGCCACCCTGCTTCTAAAGTGGCTGTGTGCCATTCAGAGGACTCTGACTCAGGGCGGCCTTCAGGAGCTCTCGTGGTACAGTCAGGAGTGAGCTGTGCTGTCAACCAAGAGGCCAAGTGTTTGCTGATGACTGAACTCACCAGCTCCATGGGCCAAAAGATAGGCAGGCTTCTCCCATTGTGATTTCTACCCAATAGAGGGTCACTGAGAGACGGAACTGGCTGGACTGGCAATGAGCTAGTGATTATGGGAGTGAGAGTGACCTTAGAGGACAGAAGTTAGAGTAGAATTGTCCCATAGAGTTTTCAAGACTGCAACTTATCTGTCATTTTGTCATACTGTGGTGGCCTTGTGTGTTGCTGTGACATCTGAAGAAGCTATGCCACTACTTTCTTTTGGTTTTTTTTTTCCTTTTCAGTCTGTGGGATCATCTTCTCTCACACCACAACTCAAAAGTATTAATTCTTCTGTCATCCTTATGCATTGTCCAGCTCTCAGATGAACTGCAAGTGATTAAAAAGAATCACTTAATCCAGCACACCTTAGTCTTCAAACTGACATCACTGCTCATCAGTAAATTTGGAATAGTCTCTGACAATATACTTTCCCAATGCCGTATGTTTCCTGATCACTTGATGGTTGTTACCAAGGGTGCTGATTATAGAACCAGGAAGATGAAATTGTTGACAGTTTCAAACTCTTCTCCATCTATCGTGATGTT